TGATCTGCAGATCTTCTGTTGGCCATGAAAGCCTTCCAAGAATGAAATGGGGTGTGAGAGGAGSGGGTGTCTCTTGGAAAGGGCTGGGGAAAATGGAACAAATGAAACTCCTCTYTCTGAACAGGGACCAGTTCCATGGGACACAGAGGAACATCACACTAAATATGCCTGAGATTSTAGAGGAGCTGCTTTTTGGATCATTTTGTTTGCTTGGTTGGAATATTCTTTTTGAATAAGCAGCAATATATTCTCTGCCATCCTGACTGCATGCCAGTAAAAGTCCTAAACTTTCCTTCATAGCATCTGTATATAATATAAAGGGTCATTTATAATCTCTGTAAGCCATGATGGGGCCTTTCGTCACATTRTCTGAAGCCTGCTTGCATTCTGGAGGCTGTTCTTGCTGACTTTTGGCTTGCAAAGAGAAATCTTGGGTTGGTTTGGTCTGCCTGTCTTCTTTCTGCTGTAATCAYTGTGTTATTTTATCTACAGTGAGTTCCAGGCTCTATACCCCAACGCATTCTTGACCAGCTGGCTTCCTGTTTTTGTCTCACCTGCTTGTGTGCCACAGTAAAAAAGTCCTAAAAATTGCATTTGTAGTACAATTATGCTATTTATGGGAAGCCAAGAGTGTGATGTGCCTTTCATTCTGGGTTGTGGGTACCTCTGTATCCAAACTCTCCCTTCAGCTAGTAAAGAGAGAAGCTGGAGAAATCTGTGTTGGCACTTGATTAGCTGAATATCTTTGGGGTCTGGCTGTTTTTTTTTCATGCCCTCACTGGTATTTCTGCTTTAGAGATGAGGTGATAAGTGTGGTACTTTGTCACTGTCACTGCCCTCTCTGTGCTCCTGCTCAGGAAGGTGAAARGTTGTCCCTGGGTTTGAGTGAAGGATCTGTTACCCTGCCATGAGCTGTCAGTCCTGTTCARCCTGGCAAGCCCAGGTGATGGTTTCAGGCAAGGAAAGCAATGAATGGAGAGCCTCAGGGAAGCTCCTCACTTCCTGTAGTGATTGATTCCGTTTGTAACAGGTCCCTGAGCGGGTCATGTGAAGAAATGAACACAGGAAGGTGTTGGGTTTCTCCCCACCCCAGTGTGCTGTAGAATGGGAGCAGCTTTTACCTCCAGGTGCTGCCCAAGGCTTTGTCAGGAGGTTTTTAACAAGTTCTGCTCAGCACCTCTCACTTCCATGAAAGGCTGTTCCCAAGCAGAAATCACAACCTGACTGCCAAATTCCTTGGACTTGCAAGGGGTTGTGTGTACCTGCTCTGCTTGGGCCTTGCAATAAGCTGTTAGAAAGTGTGATAACTCAGATAACAGCAGTTTTGGGCTTGTTTGGAAAGMAAATCTATGCATTGCAGCAGCACCCACTCATTAACAGCCTTGGAAGAATCAGCTTTTCATGTAGCTTAGAATAATCAGTCTTTCATGCAGTTTTTGACATAGGCAGACTGCWCAATGACACCTCCGCAGCCGCAAATGAAGTGCCAGACTCCCAAGCTGGTTGAAAACAATCCTTGAAGGAGCAAGATGACATTAAATTTGGGTCTATGCAGGGGAAGGCTAAAGGGGGTAATGATTAATTTCCCATTTCTCCTTAGAAGCTACGATTTTAAGCTGCCATTGTCCATTAACCAGAGCAGACTGGCTACCAGATCCTCTTTGGCAATTGCAGAGTCTGCCCCCATCACCTGCCTTTCTCCTCTGGGGTGTGTGGTGGTGTTTGCCTTCATTATCCTCATTTTCCTTCAGGAATATGAACCTGTCTAATTTCAGCACCAGATAYGGAGGTTTTTTTTAGAGTGCAGTTGAATTTTTTGCATCTGACACAGAAGTACTTCRTGTGTACTCAAGAAACTGGGATGARTTGTCTCCTAAGCCCAYCAAAATCAATATTARTGYGAAATAATCAGTGTAGGRTAATCCATGTACCATGTAAATACCACTTCTTCCCAGTTGACTCTGTRAGGTCAGAGGGACACACATACAAGYTGCATAASAGKTAATGCATAATAYGTGCAATTGAATATTTATTTGGATGTAATTGACAAGGCAGAAAAATTATCTTAATGTGAGGGGTGGCACTCACATCCTTGTTAATTACACTGAATTAAAATGTTCAGTGACTAGTCTGAATTTGTTTCCAGTATTTAAGCCCCTTCATGCCTTGCTACGTGTTGCTCATGTGGATACTGCTGCTTCCTTCCTCTCCTGTGGTGGGAACAATTCCTYTACTCCTCACATCTTAATGAGAAGTTTTGGTTTTTCATGACTTCAGGACACATAATTCTGCCAATCTTCTGGCAGGTTCTGTGAATATGCAGGTTGTTTTACCTGACATGAGATACTCTTGCCCTGAGGTTTTTGTACAAGTGCTGTCCTTCCCGTAGCTGTAAGCATGCACTAAAAACATGCTCAGGGTAAACCATGCAGAGATATGGCTTCCCAGCCCCTCTGGTTCTCAGTCTTTCTCCTGGCTGCTTTTCCTTCCGTGCTCAAATGRCTGTTCCCATGGCATGAGTGTCACCCAACCTGCGGGAAAAACAAAACCTCTCTAACACATTTTTCATGTTAGAAAGTCAAGGTATTACTTTATTTTCTGDCCAGGCTGTGCCACAGAAATAATTTCTTCCACACATAGCCYGGGTGTGCAGAGAAAATCATTCCCAWGGCACATGGATTTTACAAGATTTTYYYCCAAACTTTATACATTCAAACCCCYGAGAACTKTATTRGTTTAATGTTCATTGGTTCAACMTTGCRCARTTCTCAGGATTKGGGYTCMTGTTGGATCTGGATTTCTTTGTCTCCAATGCTAATTAGATTYTCATTCTCATCTCTCTTWTCCCAGACCAGGTGCCTCCGACCAGGGSTGAGGTTTGGGGCTGGTGTTCTGTTAATGGTCACTGATGGTCACTGATGGTCTTTATCTTTTGTTCCACTCSCACTCTGTTGAGCTCTGAAGCTCCTCAGSYCTCACCTGGTGGAACAATGCCCTGCAAAGAAACTTTAGCACCCTTCCCCCAGGGCAAAGGCAAACAGGATCTTTGACTGAAGTTAAACGAAAAGTTTTTAAACTTCTTTTTTTTCCATTATGAGGAGACATTGCCTCTGTCTGCACAAACCCCATGACTGATGCTTGGAGACAGCGAAGGGCTGATTGCACCAAGTGTGCGAGTGAAATGTAAAGGCAAACTTTATTTTGAATTATTACGTTTCCAGACTTTAGCTCCTGCTGCTGTTTCTTCTGGTCCTGCTCCCTCAGCTTTGTGTGAAAGTTGTGCTGAGCCCATCAAAGTAGATCTGACGTGATCTGGAGCTTAATTAACTTTATTTTTTTCCCCTTGTTTTGGCCATAGGTTTTATACTGTGGATGGCAATAGAGATGTTGGGGTACTCAGGTGCCTGATCCCTGTTTACACACCACAGGGTCTATAAATCTGAGCCAGGTGGTTCTGTAAGACCTCCCTGCCTGCCTGGGGTCACCCAGGGTGTGACCACACTCCACTCTTCCTGCTGAGGAAGCACAGGGGGTTTCTGGGGAGCAGGAGCAGTGTCTCAGTGAGAAGCTCTGCCTTGTCCTTGTCAYTGCTGCCGGGCTGGTGGCACTGGGCACAGAGCCACCCCTCCCTGGGTGTCCCAGCGTTCCCGGCCGGCTGTAGCCCAAGGGTCAGCGARCAGCCCGCTGGCCCCATGTGGTCCTGGCATGTGTGCCTCCTATTCATGGAAATGGGAGCTATCCAGAGAGCAGGGATTCCTGTGGAGAGGGGAATGCAGAAAGGAGAAAAAAACAACAAATGCTGTAAATGGCATGTTCTGGAGAAATCAAACTGACGCAGAGGAGCTGGTTTGGGGAAGGAGAAGGGTATGTGCAGGTTCATTCCCACAGTTCAAGCAGTTTGATTTTTGGTGTGTGAGGCTGGGGAGTACCTGGGGATTGAGGGGATCAGCTCTGCAGGCGGCTCCTACTCTGAGAGAGATGAGGAGCCAGAACTCCTCTTGTTCAGCAGGGGATGCTTACACAACACGGGTGTGTTTTGGAGCACAAGCTGGTGTCTCCACTTCCCACAGTGACCCCAGGTCTGACCTCCAGTCAGCAGGAAAGTGGCTCTCAAACCTGGTCACTGCACTGATGTACAAAAGCATCACAAAACTTTCCATGCCAGAATATTCACAAAAATGTRAACCAGTATTTGGCAAAGATGAGCAATGCCTGCAAGAGGGAAATGAAAATATCCTCTTTTTTACTCCCTCAGTCATGTCCCTGGAACACAAAAAACCTTTTTTTGTTTTTTTTCAGAGAAGGTCCCTGAGGGATCTATAGGTCTGGATTCCCTGTGCTGACCCTGCAGTTGCTTCTGTCCCATATACCTTGCAGTGAGGGGTCTGTCTCTCTCATTTTGTTATGACACTGTGTGACACACTTGTCCCTTCCTCCCCTACATTCTCTCTTTCCCATTTTTAGGGAAACCTCTTAGGCTGTAACCTCACCAGAACAGCAGCAGGACCTCTTCAGCACCCAGCTTGTTTAAGGTCTGCTCACAGACAGCTCCACCACACCAAAAAGCAGAATTTTCCAGCTCTGCTGTTGCTCAGAATGGTGGGAGGCTGGGGAATGATACCATAACAAGCAGGATGGAATTAAGACCAGTACAATRGGAGCTGACTATCAGGAGATTTGGAACACTTCTCTTTTTTTTCTCAAGTCCTATTGTTTCTGATAAGTCACAGAACTAAATTATGCACTGCAAAAYCCTGGCCTCTGACAACCAAGAGAGAGGCATTAGTGGATCTGTGGCTCAGGTTGGCAGAAGCTGGGAATCTTTCTGCAGCTTTTGGGAGGAGAGGGTGGGGTGAGAAGTGAAGACTGAAAGTTAACCTGGCTATGGCTGACAGAAGAAACCACCCCCAGATATTTGGTGTGTTTTTCCTGCAGTCTGGGGTGTCAGTTCACTGTTTGTCTTCCTGGAGCTGATTTCTGTGTGTCCTTTCTCTCTGCAGGCACTGGTGTCACTACACAGTCACAAGGACAGTCTCCTGCCAGGTGCAGAACGGCTCAGAAACGGTGATCCAGAGAGTTTATCAGAGCTGCCGGTGGCCAGGACCTTGYGCCAACTTAGTGAGGTAAAAACCTTCATGTCCCAGGCTGCCCAAARCCTCCTGCCCTTGCCCTGGGGTTGGCTGGTGGGTCCTGCAGAGAGGACTGAGATCTGTGGGTCAGGTGTGGTGTTCTKCTTTGGGGTGCTGTGACTGAGGATTGCCATGAGTGATCACTGCAGGGTGAAGGTGAGTGTAGCATTGCTTCCATTTAGGAGCTCTCTAAACACAGACAGAGTCTGGTTTAGGAAGGAGATGTTTATTCTGCGCAAAGTRGAGGTTTCCACAAATCAAGCACASCCATKKGTGAAATATTACATCTTTTATACAGTAAAGTTTACATGTTCCCCCTACCTAATCTACATTCTCCACTTACCAAATGCCTATTTATTTGGGTGATATAATCTTACACAAGATGCTTGAAACTCAAAGTTCTTTCCTTTATTAAGCAACTTCTATTGTAAAAGTTATGTGACAACATCAATTACATTCACAAAAGGGGAGAAAATCCAGCCTGGGGACAGATAATTCAACTTAAAGACATCAGTATTAGGATGAGTTATGTGAAACAGCTCAGCTCAGGCTGTGGTGCCAGTTTGTGCTTCACAGAGGAGGCTGCTGCTGCTCGGGCATGAAGGCAGGTAAATGTTCAGTGAGACTGAACAGGGCGGGCAGGGATGCTGGCTCAGTGCTTCTGTTGGTATCAAGTCCCCACACTTGGGGTTATGGTGAGAATATTGATCCAAAACTGTGATCAGATCCCTCACAGGTGCTGAGGGACAAAGGTAATGTGCCCTGGATGTTTCAGAGTAGAATTCCTTTTGACWTCCTGGATCTCAGTATCCTTTACAGACATATTGAAACACAATGTCCTCTTCTCAGATGAGAAACAAAGCTCAAAAACAGTGACTTGACAAAAACTTGCCTGGAGCCTGCTTTGCCTTTCAATCATTTGCAGTCTTGGAACCCACSTACATTAAAGAAGGGGAAAAAAATGTGAAATAGCTGTCCCCAGCCACCACCTTTCACTGAAGTGCCTTTGCATTGTTAAGCTTTGCCTTCTCTGAGAGACATTCTCAGAGCAGAATAGCGTTACCCACCCATCTGGGAATTGGGGCAAAAATCCCAATGTGCTCTAAATTTGCACCTAGCTTCTAAACCAATTTCCCATGTGGACAAGCCATAACTTAGCTCACAGAGCTCAGTCATTTTATTGCTATTGTTACCAGTTCACCCACAGGGCACTGGTTGAGGTCCTCCTATAGCTGATAACCTGACCAGAAGGTGATTGAACTGCAGGCTGGGATCCACCTCCCTGTTCTCRTGACACTTCACCTGGAATTCACATTTTGCATGGGCCTGTTCCTGCAGTTGGTTCTTCAGTTTCCACTTGGCCAGTGGTCAGTCTCAGTTTTTTCRCTTGTAATACATCTCCTTTGGTGTCTCTTTGGTCTTTATGCAAGGCTGTGGTTGAAACACTTCATATTTTACATTGTCATGGCCAAACTTCTATTGAAGCTTTTTAATTTCCCAGGCTTTTTAGGCATAAAATTGTCATTAGAAACTTGTGAGCTTTCACCTTGTCTCCTAAACTTGCAAAAAATCTTACTTATTTTTTGTTGTTAGTGCAACTGGAGTTGCATAAGTACCAAACATTTGATCATGYTATTAGTAAAAATTCTTTTTGTGGGCCCCTGCAGTTGATTGATGCCATTGACTCTTGCATTAACCCAGAGACTTTAGGAGCAGTGTGTGCTGTTGTGACATTGCTCATGGAACATTTTCAGTYTCAAATGTAGTTTGGTTTGTTTGCCTGATGAGCCCAATTGTTTGGAGACAATGCAGAACAGCAGCAGACATCTCAATTTTTCTTTCTGTGTGAAAATATCATGGAAAGAAGCTGGAGTTATTAAATATTCAAGATATCAGCTGGTGAAAGCTCAGCTAATGGGGGCTGCATTTTTGGAGSATGATCACTATGGAGAAMCYWMCMRRARRRRARGGRRGRACAYCAGAGCTCTGCTCCCTTTGAGTTGGGAGGAAATGGAGGACAAGAGGATKGAGGGAAATGTCTGCAATGTCTGTGCTCTGACCACACATTGTTTGGCATTCCTGCACAAAGTAGAGAAAGACCCTGCACCTCTTTCCCAATGAGCTCTCAGAAAGCTGCTGACAAAATGCTGGAGCCCACCCAGTTAGCAACAGAGGTAATGCAGGCTCCTGCTCATTCACTGTCTGAAAGGGAGAGCCCAGGAATGAATAACAGCAAAGGTGAATCCTCTGGGTTCCTGAGAGCTGAATGGGCTGTTGGAAAAGTTATCCCCAGGTCAGACATCTTTTATGAGTGCTTGCTTGCTTTCAGCCGTGCCCCTGACTTTGATATGAGAATGAAAAGCAGCTGCTGGAAACGMTGGATCTTGTGATGTGTAACTACAGTGGGCAATGTTTGGTAGCCCTGAGCCAGGCTGTGGGGTTGAGGTCTTGTTGCCTGAGCCTGCACAGCAGCCTAGCACTGTTTCATGGTCAGCCCATAGTGATGATAGAAGTGGCTTTCCTTTGTTTTGKAATCAAGTTGAAGTTTTRAAACAACTTCATTTTAAAAAGTACWTCTTCCCCCTCTGTCACCAAAATGAGTGTTGTCTCTTTGAGAAACTCCAGTCTCCTAATTCAGGTAAACTCCATCTCCTGTTTATAGATGGAAATAGAAATAAGAAAGACAATTCCCAAAGTCACAAGGCACTGTAATTCCTCTTCTTTTCAGCCCCTCATTTGCTAGTGCAGCTCTTTGCAAGTTGTACTTGTTTCCCTTATTTTTTCTGTTAAAAACCTGGCTTTGAAGGGGCTTGTAAGCTTTAATCAGCCACCAAACTGTACAACTTCCTTTGGCAGGTCTCTGAAAATCCCCGAAGAAGACGAGAGCAGAAAACTCTGCTCGGGTGCCCTATTGTTTGTTTCCTCTTTACCTTCTCTGTACCAGYCCYTCTTTTTGGGATYTCTGGAAGCCTAGCTTCAGRCAAGGTCAGGCTTTCTCCAGGTCTRGTAGCAGCTAGAAATGTTCATGYTCTCTAGACCCCTGTCGTTGTCAAGGTAATATAAATATATCTGCTTTTCTTTTTCCAAAAAAGTAAATTTTAAGTGTCTTTTGGCCTTCTCCTATTCTTCTCCAGGGAGATCTGTGGTGCCTGAGCTTACATTGAAGAGCACAGTGTTCTGTGTGACTGTGAGCAATGCAAAATGTCAGTAAGCCACTGGCACTGCTTTGGCTTTGTGGTGTTTCTGCCAGCTGTGATTTGACACAAACTGTTTTCATCTCCTTGTTTACAGGGAGTCAGCCATRTCTGGGAGAGCTTTCATTCTGCCAGCACCCCTTATCAGGCTGCTCACTAGCAAAAGGGACTTCAGCCAAGGGAAAAGGCATCTCTCAGGCTGTGGTGACAGCTGAGCGGGGCTCTCTGCTGCAGACTCCACTCCCGAGCAGACATCGGCGTGGCCAGACAAGGAGTTAATTCCCTTCCTGTCTCCCATTCACTCGTGTTGGGTTTCTTTCCCTTGCTGCACAAACTGCAGCTSAGGGTTAAGCCTTTGACAGAGGAGGATCTGTGAGATCCCAGCCTTCAGCCTTGCTGTGAGCTGTCCTTGCTGTCCTGGAAGCTGCTTTGGCAGGAGCGTTGTCATCGTGGCTGGGCTGAGCTGCCCTGCTCTTGCCCTCCACCCCAGGCTCTTTATTTAGCTTGGGTGCTGGGTTGCTCTGGAGCACTCCTGGCTGGAGGATTTCCCTCAGCAGATCTGTTCTTGAACTCCCTCCATCTGTGCAGTGAAACCTTCGGTGTCTGTGGCCGTGGGCTGTGCCTTCTCTGCGTTATGCTCCGGAGTGAGCATGCGGCTCTCCAGCAGCCTGGGTGCTGCAAACTCACATGCCAATAGTCTGTCTGAAGGAAGGGACAAATTCCCTACCTTGGCCTTTCAATCTTTGGGTCTCTGCTGCCTGGGTGACTGTCCCCAGCTCCCAGAAAACCCACACTGTCACTCTCCTCAGCAACCTTCCTGCTGCAGCAGCTGCAGGGTGATGCCCAGTCCTGTCCTGCCTGGGTCACTGCACTCCTCAAGGCTCACAGAGGGGGTCTGMAAGGCCAGGCAAGGATTTGAGATGTACATTTAGTTGCTGGAGCTTTTGTGACTTCCTGTGCCTACAGTGAAGCAATGCTGCCTCACCTGTAAGATGAGGACARTGCTGCTTCTGCCTTCCTGTGTTTTGTTGTTTTGAGAATAGGGCAGCTTCTTGCTATACCCTGGTTGGCCAAAATCAGCCTAATTTTGATTATTTATGTGTGATTGTTGTGGTCAGTAGAGCAGTGTCTCGAGGTGAATGGATGGCACGAATGGCCTTGGCAGATCATGTGCTGTTACAGAAAACAAACACTTTCTGCTCCAAACTCTTGTTRCTGTGAAAATCCCCATTTCATCTCTGGAAATGTGCTGCATCATGGTGTGGCAGGATATTCCAGCTCCTCTCCTACTTGTYCCCTCCTTGAAAATGAATGTTCCCAGCAAGGTTGTGTGAGTTTTCATCTTGCTGTGCTTTGCTGTACTCCATGGTCACAGAGCTGCCTCATTTCAGCCTCCAAGCCTCATGTCTCTGCAGTGCAATTTCTGTATCCTCTCTTCGGGAATTTGAAGATTCTCGTGGAAACTCACAGCAGGCTTGTACAGGGATGGCTTCACCTGCGTTCTTAAGTAAGAACCATCGAAACTCCAACCAGTAAGATATTCATCTGTTGGCTTTAACTTCACCCAGAGATGGGAGAGTGTTCTTGTTACACAGCAAATATGGGAATCTGAGCCATGATGCCCTTTCCAGCTGCTTACCACTACCGTTTTTCCCTTTCAGTGCTGTAGCTGGTTTGGGTTATCACAAATGCTCTGTGCTTTTTAATATAAGCAGGCTACACATCTTGCATGGATCATTCTTGTTGGGTGTTTTTCAATGCTGGGGTTTTTTTTTTTCATTTTTATTATTATTTTTCTTT